CATCTGGGTTGTTTCCATGTTCTGGCTATTACAAACAATGCTGATATGAACATAACTGAACAAGTGCTCTTATGGTGTGGTTGAGCATTTCTTGGGTATATGCCCAAGAGTGGTATAGCTGGATCTTGGGGGAGATTGATTCCCAATTTTCTAAGAAAGCGCCATATTGATTTCCAAAATGAAAGGCGAGGGTTGAGGGAAAGAGAGCTTGGGGGAGCGGGAGATCCCAGCTGGATCAACAACAGAGAGGGAGAACAAGGAATAGGAGACCATGGTAAATAAAGACCACATGAGAATAGGAAGAAGCAAAGTGCTAGAGAGGCCCACAGAAATCCACAAAGATACCCACACAACAGACTGCTGGCAGTGGTCGAGAGACAGCCCGAACTGACCTACTCTGGTGATGGGATGGCCAAACACCCTAACTGATGTGCTAGAAACCTCATCCAACTACTGAGGGATCTGGATGCAGAGATCCATGACTAGGCCCCAGGTGGATCTCTGGGAGTCCAATTAGCGAGAATGAGGAGGGTTTATATGAGCAATAATTGTTGAGACCAAGGTTGGATAAAGCACAGGGACAAGTATCCAAATGAATGGAAACACATGAACTATGAACCAATGGCTGAGGGGTCCCCACTGGATCAGGCCCTCTGAATGGATGAGACAGTTGATTGGCTTGATCTGTTTGGGAGGCATCCAGGCAGTGGGACCAGATCTTGTGCTCATTGCATGAGTTGGCTGTTTGAAACCTGGGGCCTATGCAGCATTGTTTGGCTCGGCCTGGGAGGAGGGGACTAGACCTACCTGGACTGAGTCTACCAGGTTGACCTCAGTCTGTGGGGAAGGCTTCGCCCTGGAGGAGATGGGAATGGGGGGGGTTTGGGGGGAAGGTGAGGGGGACGGGAGGGGGGAGAACAAGGGAATCCGTGGCTGATATGTAGAACTGAATTGTATTGCAAAATAAATTAATAAAAAAAAAAGAATGCATTAATATTTTTATGGAAAGCGTTCAGGAAGAGTTGGCACTCAAGAACCACTGAACATATCAGGCAGGAAGTATGGGACCAGAGTGAGAGTGATCCAACATAGAAAGGGAGCAGGAAAACAACTTGATTTTGTCAGTCCATGGACTTCTATTCACATCTGTCTCAAAATTGTAAATTTTAAGAGAAATAATTAATAAAAATTTTCAGAATTTTAATAAAATGTATCTCTTGATATTTTCAAAGGCATCATTGGTTTTTGTTTTGCATTTCATGACATTTTGATAATTATATTCTTCTACATTTGTAGGAAAACTTGATTTGTGAGGCAATTAAAATATTATGGAGGTGACATATGGCTGTGGAAGAAAAGGACAAGGAAATCAACATGACTCAGATGTTTATGGAAAAAACTAAAGTCTCTAGGGAGTTAATAGCATGATAAAAAGCTGAATACAGAGTATCAAGTGACTTTGAGAAGAATGGTTTAAACTGTCCCTGAATCTTTTCTTGGCACTCATCAGGTGTCTATGTTAACAAGAATGAGATTTGAAGCTACTTGTATGTTAAGTTCTCTGCTTTTCCTGTGTCATTGATAAGAACACATGAATTGACCATAATCCTGAAAAGTGAAGGGAGGAGACGTAGCCATACTAACATTTTTACTTATCAAATAAGGTTGTTTCATAGAAGAGGTGCAGAAATCATCACTGAACATAGTCAAACTCAAAAACGCCTCAGTGCTGTCAGCAAGTATAACATCTGCCTTCCCTGCTTAGCTTTCAATTAAGTCTGGATAGAGAATAAAGGTAATTCAAGGCATTTTCAGGGACTGGAGAGATGACTCAGTGGTTAAGGCCGTATACTTTTCTTACAGAGTGCCCTGGTTTGGCTTCCAGCACCCACATGGTGGCTTATAACCCACTGTGACTCCAGTTCCAAGGGACCCAAAGCCTTCTGGCCTCTGGCACTGCCAGGAAGATCTGTGGTATACAGACATACTTTCAGGCAATACACATTAAATATATATATGTATACACACACACACACACACACACACACACACACACACACACATATATATATATATATATATATATATATGAGTGTATATGTATATACATATCTTTTAAACCCCAACCATGATGTACAAATAAATATCCTAAACTTTTAACAAAAAACAAAATTAATACTTTCATTGTCTCTACTACCATATTTCCTGAGGAACTATTGAGTGTCACTCCAGCCCAAGTCAAGCATACAGTATGACAGAAAATTCTTCTGAAATTGCTTAGCTTAAAGGAATCCAAAGAAATTATTAATGGTAGAAGATTGAAGATATAATCCAAACAAATTAAATCAACAGAGGCAGGGAGCCAGTTCAGTGTAATTTTCAAAGCTGTTTGAGAGCTGAAAACAAAAAATAATCCCATGCCATTTTTTTTATCTGATATATTAATGGGAGTAATCCATAGAGTCTGCTTAAAGGGCAAAGGAATTTATTATGGAAGGAAAACTCATTAGATGAAACAGAGGAATTATCACAGGATCCTGGAATGGTGAGGCATGGTCCCACTACAATATATACTCAGTACTAAGTTCTTAGAAGTTTGTGACTGTGTTAGTATGCTGAGGTTGGACCGGAAATGGAATGGGATGAAACATGAAGCTACTTCTCTTTCCTTTCCATTAGTGCCATCTTACTGGTTCCTCCCATTAGCAGAAATCAGAGTAAAGCTAAACACCACAGCAACGGCACTGGGGCAGTTACTAACGACCGATAAAAACAGGGGGAGAAGGTGAGGTCAGGGTCCAAAAGACGTAGTCTAAACCGTCACCACACATACAGTATCTGTAAAGACACCACATTCTCTGTTTTCATGGAAAAGGTAAAGGCAATTTTGAATTCAATAGGTAGCCCAAACTAAGAAAAATTAACTGATGTTCAGGTTTCTCAGACTCTAAAACTCTCTTTCTCTTGTGTGCTATTATATTTTAGAAACTGCAACCAAGGGAAATAAGGCTTCCCCAAGACAGACGTTTGAAACATTCATCATAAACAAAAATAAATTATAAGTCCCATTGCTTTACCATTCTTTGGATATTTGATTCTCCTATGATTTGAGCAGTGAGACTAAAGTCACCAAAGAGTTTATCATTGTCAGTAGTTGTTTATAATACAAATCACTCCTGGCAAGAAATAATAGAACCATAGGGATTTGGTGCCTTTGAAACAATTTTATTATAAAATCCCAAATGTCTGTATGTCAATGCTACCATTGTGATCTTACACTGCTTCTTCAGGTAGGATATTCATGGTTCATTTAAGTTTGGAACAGAAACACACATTTTAATCGGTAAATTAAATTGATTTGCAACCTATAATTCTGAATTAAGAATCAATTATATTGAAATACTATTGTTCTCAGGCTAAACTACTCATTGATAAATGACAAAGATGTGTATATTCACATCATGGAAAAGGTGATAGACCAAGGAGAACATTAATACCTATCAATAAGGAAAACACTTATGTAGATGTGGATGAATCCATAACCATATAAAAACTACCATCTTAGCCTGTGAGGAGTCCAAGCTTTGATTCTGAATCTTGCTCACACCCTGGCTCTCATCTTCATAATGACTAAAACTTTTAAAGTATTTGCTGCATTAGATTGCTTAAATGATTTTCCTGAATTAACTTCCTCACATGAAATTGATTTACGTATGAAAAGATTTTATGGGTTTGAAAACTAAAACATAATGATATTAATGGTTCGCTCAAGCCATACAATTAGAAACAAAAGGACCTAAGTTTTCAACTCAGGGAGTAGAGAGCAGATACCTGGGCATGGTTGCATTCTGCTGACTCTGCATAATTATATGCTTTTTTTCATTTGCTTTATCAGAAATGGTGGTTAGTAATTTTTGTAATTTTTTTAAGTTCACAATATTACACTATAATAAAATCATACTCTCATAATTTCTATGACCACTTGGCTGGAAAACTAGACACATTCATGTTTCTAATCTTTATTGATTATTAAAAATTAATAAGAGGTACAATTCATGAAGGTACATTATTTAGTTACTTTTCTCACTTGAAAATGAAACTTAACACAAGCCAATTAGTCACAATTCTTATGACAGCCAAAGACCAATGGTTCAGACACTTTGGAGGATTGAGTCACACAGGAAGCACAAGTAGGAGAGATTTTCACCATATAGTGAATTTCAAAAAGTGCCAAGCCCAGCATGCTCAGATGCATTTATGCCATTCACAAACATTCAGATGTTTTGGATGTAGCCATGTAGTACCCTACATGTGTTATTTTTTCTCAATGCAAGGTCCTTTCCCTAAAGTACTGATTATATAATACAGAAATCTCATTGCTTTTATTACCTTTCCCCCTATAGTAAAGAGAAAATTGAGGAAAGATATTGAATATTTTAAATCTTAATATTTCAATATATAAACACATTAAAGTACTTGTCTACGTCACACCCATAATCATCAAATAAGAAAAGCATAAAATAATTAGAATTTTTTTAAATTTAGGTAATATGTTTTGTGCATTGTTGTACTAGTCAATAGTTCTAAGGTCCCCAAGAATGGAATGGAATACTGTAATAAATAATAATATTTAATGTCAATTCATAGAACACATTATAAAGTAACTTTTGTTGATATTGTACTTATAAATAAGGACCAGTATCCTACAGCATCATAAGTATTTGTATGTCACTGAAGGAAGATGCCAATTTTTGTGAGGATCTCCATGGTCACTTTCACTCTACCCAAATGTTTAGATATAATCCAGAAGAGTATAGGTGCTACGTAATTTTGTAGTTAATGTGGCTATTATTTCTGATGACAGATAGAAGGGATTTGTATTGAGCTTGATATTTTATTAAAACATTAAAAAATGAGAATCAGTGGTAGCATGGCACAGTCAGTACAGTTTAAAGATTCCCTTCTCTGAATTGTCTCATTGTCTCCTGCTGTTCCACCAGAGGCTGCAGATACACTGTTTTTTCCTTTGACACCAGCCCAGCATGAACAGTGAACGTCATCAAGGTATGTCCACAGCTACATATGTTCATTGCTCATGGAGTGTAGCCATACATACATTTTGTATACATGAAGTAGGTAAGACACTTTTGGTTGTCCCACACCAATTATTTTCTACATGAGCAAAATGCACTAAGAAAGTGAGAAGTTGAGCAGTGTATGAAAGCTGAGAAATATTTGTTGGTAAAATGTTTCTTGAGGTGGATGAGAGTGGGGGAAAGAATAGCTTGAAAAATACCTATGGGAATGAAGAGGGGCATGTGAAGTGATCTTGATTTCAGGAAGCTATGGGCTATTTTTAATAGCTTCACTTTCTGAAACTCATTTAACTGGGAGAAACACAGATAAGGTTCAAACCATCACAAAAGTAGGAGTAGGTATCAAAACAAAAACATTTGCACCCCTGTGTTCCGGGAGTAAAAAAGAAATGTGATAAACACTTGTCAACCTAAAGACACCTGAGGTATGAAAAGATATGCAGAAAAAAATCTTAGAGCATCATTAAGAATATAGTTACAATTTCTATCATCCACCTATTATATATCTGTCTACAATCTGTCTATGTGTCCATCTAACTCATTGGTTCTTAATCTGTGAGTCATGATGCCTCATTGGTTCTTAACCTGTGAGTCATGATGCCTTTGATGGTCAAACAACCCTTTCACAGGGGTTGCATAAGAACATTAGAAAACACATATATTTATATTAAAATTCATAACAGCAGCAAAATTATGGTTATGAAGTAGCAACAAAAATAATTTTATGGTTGAAGGTCACCACAACATAAGGAACTGTATTAATGTTTTGCAGCATTAAGAAGGTTGAGAACTACTGATCTAGCTATTATCTATCTATTGATCAATCTAACATCCCTCTGCCGATTATCTATCTACCTACTGATATATTATCTACCTTTCTGCTACCTGTAACTATTTCTCTATCAATTTAGATGTTCAAAACATCAGTCAAATGATTAAAATGATTACTAGGATATTGCTTTATGATACGTATGTTAACAGTTTGAGAAAAGTAGAAAAAATGCATCAGATAATGTGATTGGAAGTATGCAGAAATGAAAAAAATCCAAATGCATTTTTATTTCATTTTTCAGGCCTTTTTTGATGTCAGGAAGATAAAATGTTAAATAAAAACTACACAGCAGTGACTGAGTTCATTTTGCTGGGACTGACAGATCAATCAGAGCTGCAGCCTGTGCTCTTTGTGGTCTTCCTACTCATCTACCTCATCACAGTGATTGGCAATGTGAGCATGATTTTCTTAATCAGAAGTGACACCAAGCTCCACACACCCATGTACTTCTTCCTCAGTCACCTCTCCTTTGTAGATCTCTGTTACGCCACCAATGTCACTCCTCAGATGTTGGTTAACTTTTTATCCAAGAGAAAAACCATTTCCTTCATTGGCTGCTTCATACAGTTTCACTTTTTTATTGCCCTGGTGATCACAGATTACTATATGCTCACAGTGATGGCTTATGACCGCTACATGGCCATCTGTAAACCTTTGTTATACACTAGCAAAATGTCCAGAGGTGTCTGTCTCTCTCTTGTAACTGCCACGTACATCTATGGCTTCGCAAACGGTCTGGCACAGACAATCTTGATGCTTCGTTTAACTTTCTGTGGACCCAATGAGATCAATCACTTCTACTGTGCAGACCCCCCTCTCATGGTCCTTGCTTGCTCAGACACCTACGTCAAAGAAACTGCCATGTTTGTGGTGGCTGGATCCAACCTCACCTGCTCTCTCACCATCATCCTCACTTCCTACATTTTCATCTTTGCAGCCATCCTGCGAATCCGTTCTGCAGAGGGGAGGCGCAAGGCCTTCTCCACTTGTGGGTCTCATTTGGTGGCTGTCACTGTTTTTTATGGGACTTTGTTTTGTATGTACCTCCGGCCTCCTTCTGAGAAGGCTGTAGAGCAGGGGAAAATTGTGGCTGTCTTTTATATCTTTGTAAGTCCAATGTTAAACCCTTTGATCTATAGCCTGAGAAACAAAGATGTGAAAAGAGCAATAAGGAAAGTCGTCAAGAAGGAAGTGTTTATGAAGTAAGTTGAGAGTTACACAACCCTTTCTAAGAAAATGGGCATTTAAAATTACCCGATCACTTTTTGCCACCGAATAATTTTAATTTCTGTCTCATAAATGACAAAGTACAATAGTGTGTGTTGTTTTGTAAGTTAAATATTACAGTCCATCTTGATGAATGGATAAAAATAATTCTAAAATCGGCTGGAGATACTGTCACTGTTATATAAAGTCAATATGGAAAATGGTAGATATGTTATCAAAAGTAGAATTGCCCAGTGCCGTGGCAGTAAGCTCCTTTATTTACGTGTGTGTTCTTCAAAGTACTTTCCTGAAATTTCTCAACCATAGTAGGTCAGTTCTTTCTTTTTAATATTTTTTACAAGTTAACTCATGAATTTTTCAGAGATATATCTCAGACTATTACTGCAAGATAGACCTTTCAAATGATTTTGTTGAGCTGATGGAATCTCTATACATATGATCTTGATGGAAATGCCAATTTTCCCTTAGCAGGGCTTGGTGTTCTTCTGTTATTGAACTTGCATTCTCATCAGCATGCCTCTGCTCCTCTCCTCTTTCATCACCATTGTCTGGTGTTTCCAAATAAACAGTAATTTTATTCTTTAGCTGTATTAGTGTAGAGCTATTTTGTGCATAAAACTCATTATATTTAACAGTCTCATTTGTGTGTCGATTTTAGATTTCTCTTGTGACATGTCCCCATCCTTTGCCTATTTTAATATTAAAATTTTCATACTTTTCCTATTCATTTAGCATTATTAATAATTAAACCATTTCTTCTTATACCTATATATGTAAATACTATTATATACAAAGGCATAGGCTTTCCATTCTCTAATTTTCATATTGTTGAAATGTTAGCATGTTTTATTTCAAGATTTTACTTTTTGAGATTATTTACTTTTTATTTTATGTAAATAAGTGTTTTCCCTGCATATGATTTTGTGTACCAGGTGTATGTACTTCCTGTGCACGCCAGAAAAGAATGAAGAATGCCCTGGAACTGGAGTTAACATGTGGTTGTTGGCTGCCATGTGGGTGAAGGATTCCAATTCAGATCTTCAGGAAGAGTATATCAGTGCATCAACTGCTGAGTCATCTTTCCAGCACAACATGTTGCTACCTTTTAAAAATTTGAAACAAACTATTTACAGCTTACTCACAGACAAAAATATGATATGAAATGTCTCCTTGTAAATTTAAGTCATTTCTATCAGATTTACACATGATGTCACAGTCGTTTCTAGTATTTGAAATAGAAGTTCTCCCAGGTTGGCTCTGTTTCCTAATTTCCTACAGTAAATACTTGAAAGTTTCTAGACCCTCTGTATAATTGCCTCAGTAGCTAGTTGTTTATATGTTCATAGGTTAATATAACATAGTTAACATAGCACACATAGTTTTTATAAAATAGATTTCCAACTTCACAGAAGGAAATTGGTTATTTCTCTTTTGAAATTGTATTTTCACTCACAGGGTTAGACTTCTACACACTAATTTATTTAGGTGCACTCTTCACTCATATAGTCCTTGTCCATATACATCTATTCACAGCATATGCATCTGTTCTGTTCTGAAGGAATAATTGTGTATTTTTGCTTCCCTGTTGATATGAAATCCTGCTGATATACTTCATGCAATTATAAATACGTATCTCTGAAAAGGTGCTACTGCTTTGAGTGTTTATATATGAACATCTCTACAGTTTTCATGTGTTGTCAATGTTTTGCCAAACTGTACACCTGCCAATAACACACGGTTCCTCTATCTTGCATTCCTGCCTATGCAAAGGATTATAGGACTTGATATTGGGCGTTCAATCTTTGTCTTGTTGTACCTAGGTTATGTCCATACAGAGGGCAGAAGAGAAAATCATTCCTAAGCAACCTGGTCAAACTCAAATTTGCCTGCCATATTGCCAGTAATTATAGTATTTGACTGTCATATGACTCTCAATTGAGCAATCGAATCAGGACCCAGACAGAGGGTGATTCATTTGTCCCTCTAACCTCTAACAATGACACATCAGAAATACTTCAAACATTTAACAAAACAGAAAATAGCTATTGTGATTAATTTTACCCTGCTGTATGTAATATGTATTAAGTACGTAGCATGTGTTACTCTGGTCTAGATTGGAGAATGGCACTAAAGCAAGGTTCTGCTCTATTGTCTAAGCTTAGGATCTAATAATGAATGAGAACAAAGGTGACCTTAAAAACTGAATTTAATGAAATGAAGCAGGCTTACGGCAGGAAAAATTCCCCACTTGGAGGCCCCAGGATCAGGGACAGTGATGCTGGGTCCAGAGCCATTGAGAGCTTGAGCCGGAAAGACCATCTTATAATGCTTTCTTCTGCAAGAAACACTTGGGGAGGAGTTCTCTGTGTATGGACAAGGAAACCTTAGCATGCTCATGTTAAGATAAGAAGAATGAGAAGGACACAGAGCTACTTTTCTTATCCTGCTTCTGATGTTTCCCTGATTCCTCCTATTGATCAAAGTCAGCTCTAATCAAACACAAACTTAATTACTTGTGAAGTTCATAATGCCAGGTTGGGAAAATAATTAGAAACATCAGCTAAAAGAGAATACACCTAGAACAACAAGGGAGTCTTCTCATCAGATTGGCTGTATCTGAGAATACACAGGTAGTAATAGTTATTTCTATTTTTAAAAAAAAGCCAGATGAGAGGCTCAAAATCAGTAAACAGCCAGTTCAGAGTCCGTTAATTGAGCTTTCACCACTCTTTGGCCCCTGAAATATGCAGCCAATATTTCAAAGTATGTTATATTTTAAAAATATACTATTAAATATTTGTTTTATTTACTTGTTAATATTGATTTTAATTAACATATATAGGTCAGATGTTGTAGTGCATGCCTTCATCCCAGCACTCTAAGCAGAGGCAGGCAGAAATGAGTCTGTAGGACAGTCTGGTCTGCACAGGGAACTTCAGGTTAGCCAGAGCTATATAGTCAGGACTCTATATCAAAAGCAAATTATAAAAATAAACAAATTTCCACTCATCCCTTTTCTCCTTTCAACCCCTTCTCTTCCCTATTATTCCTTTTCAAATTAATGCCCTCCCTTTTCCTTAACTATTACTATTATAAGTGCATACATAAACATAAACATACAAATGCAACCTACTGAGTTGATTCAGTGTTGCTTGTATGCATATGATTTCAGGACTGGCCATTTATTATTGGATAAACAAATATGGGGCTCATCCCTGGGCCCTTTATCAGCAGTCATTAGTATATATATACAGATAATAATTAAAAATAAAGATATTTAGCACAAGCTAAAATAAGAGACCTTTGGTTCACTGTTCTTGGAAGATCTGAATCTCTGATGACTGTGTGGAGTGGGCAAAACTGTTCTCAATGGATTTAGGCTTTTAGAACAGGAAGCTAGGGGTTATTCATAATCCAAACAATTTACTCCAAACAATAATTGAGCCACAGGGAATTGGTTCTATGAGAGTTTGCTCTTATAAACTATTCAGCTTCTTCACATCGGTGTTGCCATTGCAAAGTTACTCTGCTTTCACAGGAGGAACAATCATCCTTTCTTAATTTTAGAATCTAGAGGTATGTATTTTAGTAGATAAAATAAGTTGAACTGAATTCTACTTTAATGGCTTAGCAATATCACCATTGAAGGTCTTCTTTGTTTCTCAGAGTAAGTATTCATTTACCAATATGACTTTTCTTTTGTATCTTATTACCCTATCCAATAAAACCTAAGTCCTAATTTGTAGAATAGCAGAATGCAATGCAAAAGAAGCCCTTATGGAGTGCATAAATAACTTCTTTCTGTCAGTGGTATTGTGCTTATCATGGAAGAGCCAGGTTACAATCCTGATACATGTGGACCTTTGTCATCAAAGGAGAATGGAAGTGTTCCATGATATGATATCTGTGAGCTCTTTATTTCTGTGGTAATGCCTGCAGTATTGTCTCAGGTAGATTCACAACATGATTATTACTTCAGCATGCTATAAAAGAATATAGAATTTATGCTTTTAGAAACCTGTATAGAATTCATGTTTTAGCACTATTGAAATTTTCTACAAGTGTTAGGCTGAGTTAAAGGTATAGCAAATCATTATGGTCTGAAAATTTATTTATCAGTATTTTTTCATTATCTCCTGCCATCCTAGCAGGACATTTATAATGCCCCTCATGAGTATGCGACACCACCAATGTATGCACATGTACATCCATGTACACTGGCATATGTATAGAATTTAATTCCCTCATGTATGCCATATGTGTTTATATATGAATATTTTGTATATGTAAATATTTAATATTGACTGGTGCTCTCTCCCTCAAAACAATTATTTTTCTTCTTGAGCAAAAAAATGCAGATGCTGAGCTTATTTTTAAAAACTAAGAGTTTTGTTGGTATGAGAGCATCATGAGGTAGGCTACTTGGGATGAGGAACTTCAGTTGAAAAATGAGGGAACAGCTTACAAGACATCTTGGGTTCAGAAGAGTAAATAGAGAGATCCAATGATTACATGGATATGTGTCATGTTCAGTTTAATTTCCCAACTTAATTAGCTAGGGAAAATTAGGTAACTCTCAATCTCTAACACTTTGTGAATCACATCTGAAAGTATATTTGGAGAAAAACATCATTTTAGGCAAAGACCATTTTAGGAGAAAAAAAATCATGTTCACGGAAAACAGAGTAAACATGGAGAAGACTTACACACACACACACACACACACACACACACACACACACACACGGCTCCATATATATTTGGTGAAATTTTAGAACATTAAGTACACATTCCTAAGCCACTTTAATTTGTTTTAGATTTATTTATTTTACGTATATATTATTTTGTCTGCATTTATGTATGTGCAGCATGTGTGTACCTTGTGCCTGCAGAGGGCAGAAGAGAGGGTATGGTAGTCTCTGGCACTGAAGCTACAGAGGAATGTGAAACACCTCCTTATCATGCTGAGAACTGAACCT